CTGGGAAACGTGTTTAAAATAAGGAGAAAAGGCAGGAATATCTGTTAGATTTAGCTCTATGGCTGCTGGGAAACGTGTTTAAAATAAGGAGTAAAGGCAGGAATATCTGTTAGATTTAGCTCTATGGCTGCTGGGAAACGTGTTTAAAATTAGGAGAAAAGGCAGGAATATCTGTTAGATTTAGCTCTATGGCTGCTGGGAAACGTGTTTAAAATTAGGAGAAAAGGCAGGAATATCTGTTAGATTTTGATGTGGACATTACGTCATCTTGGATACAGATTAATTGAAGTGAATCAAACGTGAGCATGATGCTTACTACCAGCAAGGTTGTAGTTAGCACATAAAAAAGTCATGATAATCTTGTTCAATGTTGGGATTAAAGGAACAGTTCAATCGATGATCAAATTGATGTACAATTTTGCCACGTTTTTTATTCGCTTATATCTTCTAATTTTCCAGGGACTGCACACGCTTTAAATACGAAATTGTTAGAAATAGCATTTCTAAGTTAATTTGTAAACAAAAGTACTTGACTTTTGGTGTTGTTTTCTGGTAAGTTTGTGTGTTTACCTTAAACTACAACCTTTTGTTTATCATATCACGCATAAATAAAGTAGTCTAGTAAACTTCGTCAATGTTAATCTCTTAGATTTCTGCACACGCTTTAAATACGAAATTGTTAGAAATAGCATTTCTAAGTTAATTTGTAAACAAAAGTACTTGACTTTCGGTGTGGTTTTCTGGTAAGTTTGTGTGTTTACCTTAAACTACAACCTTTTGTTTATCATACCACGCATAAATAAAGTAGTCTAGTAAACTTCGTCAATGTTAATCTCTTAGATTCCTGCTAAAGGTAGCGCATGCATATTAACTATGGGTATCCTGGTCTGTCGGGGTATGCTGACCTGACTCAAAACCGGCATACCAGCCCCGATTGTTCCCGTCTGGGATAAACCGGGAACGACAGGACTGCGAGGAATTTCATTTTTCTATGAGGAAGCAATGACTGGCATCTGCTGAGCTCCCACTTTGCCTCACTTTGTCTTCCAGCCAATGTTTACCAGCAGGGCCACACCCCCGTTCGGTACTGGAAAAGGGAAAAGGACCGTCTGAGGCTTTTATCTAGGGTAATGTCATGAAAATTAACAGCCCTGCTCACCTACATCTGCACAGATCAAGTCACTCAGGCACCAAAATGCAAATTCTCTGATGGCTGACTGTAAACTTCTGGAAGTTTCCGACGTCGCCCGGAAAATTCCTTCTAACCAGGAGCCATCAGGCCGGTTTTAGGAAGGTTTCAGCTCCTTAAATACATTCGTTTATCATTTTTAAAAATGGCTTTTCAATGGTGTGTGTTCATAAATTCATATTTGGATAAAAGCATCAGCAGATTTCTGTCAGAAAGCCCAGAAATTCTGCTGTTTATATTCCTTCTTTTCTGTAAAACAACCTACAAACTGATGAATAATTTACCATTTTTACAGAAGTAGAGCTTAGTATTAATTAAAAAAACACCTCACTCATGCATGGAAATCCCAGAAATCCCACAGACTTCTTCCATAGTTGCAGCTAAAGTAAAATCAATTTAAGTGTGTGCAAGAATGAGTTCATGTAGTCAGAAATTATAATAAAATGCGTCCCTGCTTTAACTAATCTGCTGTAATTTAGTGTTTATTGGCATTTTTAAGGCAGTACATAGTTATTGCTCTATTTCCAGGACTAATTAGTCCGATGTTAACAGGAATGAAGAGAAATGTTAATTGAAACTGGATCCTGATACCTAAACCTACATTTAAAAGGCCCATTTCTGAATTTATCCTGGGATATCTTCGGACTAAGGTCTGACATCGATTAAACTGTCTCTAAACTAAATCTCCAGCTGTTAGTTTTTAATATTTTAATGGACAAAAAGAAGAAAACACGAAGAGGAGAAGTGGAAAAGAAG